TAGCCCAGGCTCCTCCCAGAAGAAAGGGAAGGAGGATGGGATAGCCCAGGCTCCTCCCAGAAGAAAGGAGAGAAGCATGGGATAGCTCAAGTTCAGGACCTCTGAGGCCCCAGGAAGCTGGGCTCAAGAGGTATAGACAGGCATTCAAGAGGCCAAGGTATCTCCCCCAGGGGGTTGGCTCTGGACATCTAGGTAAGGACCAGAGGCTCTCCCTGGGCTAGCATCCACTCCTGGTTAATTATTAGTAATAAGTATCATTTAGCCTCCTCTAAAAGCAGTCCAGAGATCACTACCTCCCAAGGCATGCCATGCCACCTTTGCCCAGACCCTGTTATGCATTCCTTACTAAAAATTAGTATTGTTGCAACTTCTATCCATCATGGAGGTGGGGTTAGACTAGATGCTTTCAAGTGCTTTAGGGGTTGTCATGGTGAAGAAGGATTCATCTTGTTCAGCTCAGCCCCATTTAGCAGGACTGGGAGCAGTGTGGGAAGACCTGGGGAGCAAGAATCCTTCCTAACCATCAGGGCTGGGTGAACATGGGGTGGCCTCAGGAAGTAATGAGTTTTTCATCCCTGGAGGTATTCAAGCACAGACTGGAGTCCAGATCTTACCTCTGACACTCACGAGCTGTATGGCTCTGGGTAGGCTATTGAGGACCAGAGTGTCACAGATTTAGAGCTGGGAGGGACCTCAGAGGCCTAGACTCAGAGAGTTGAAGTGACCTGGGCCACGTAGCTAGCCAGGGTGTGAGGCAAGATTTGATGTTGAGTCTCACTGGCCTCAGGCAGCTGGTGGTACAGAGGACAGAACACAGGGCCTAGAGTCAGGTCATCTGAGTTTGACTCCTGCCTCAGACACTTGCTAGCTGTATGCCCCTAGGCAAGTCTCTTGACCTCTATTCACCTCTGTTTCCTTAACTGTGAAATGGGAATAATGATAGCACCTACTTCTCAGGGTTGTGTTAAAGACCAAAGGAGAACATATTTGTAAAAAGCATCTAGCACAGGGCTTGGCACGTAGGAGGTGCTTTACAAATCTTCCCTTCTGTCTCATCCCAGGCCGAGGCTCTACCTGCTGCTCCCTTAAACTCTGTGTGCCTCCGTTTCCCCAACTGTAAAACGAGGATAATGATAGACCCTACTTCTCAGGGTGCACAGTGCACAGCACAAAGTGGGTGCTGTTTAAATGCTTCTTTCCTTCCAGGCTCAGGGCTCTCTCCACGGTCCCCTTAACCTCTGCTGGCCTCCATTTCATAGAATCATAGGTTACAGGCTTAGATTTTGAGGCCTTCAAGTCCAACCCCATCATTTTACAGTGGAGGAAACTGAGGCCTGGGCCTATTTGATGACTGGCCCAGGGTCATGCCCAATAGGTGCCAGTGGCTGGAGGCAGTCAGCTTTTTTTCCACTTTCTTTTTGCTGGGGGCATGGGAGGGAGGGGGAAGATCTACAGGGGCAGGGGTCATACCTGCCTTGCAGGACTGCATGAAGATGGTAGAAGACACGGTGCATTTATAAAATGCCTCGTAAATGCCAGCAATTGCACGGTGCTTGTGCTGTGATTAATCTCAGCCTGTCTTGCTCTCCCAGTCCTGGCACTGAGGGAGGACGGAGGTGGTGCTCCCAGAGGTGGCTGCTATCCACATGGAAGGTGCTGATCATGACACTAATGACGGACCTCCCACCGGGTTCTGCCTTTCAGGGAGCATTCGACATGCGGCTGTCAAGGACAACCGCAGCTTCCCAATCAACAGCACATTCCAGGAGACGGCGGGGGGTCAGAAAGCACCATACAAGGCCACCTCCTTCATCCTGCCCCCGTGTGGTGACCTGCCCAACCTGGACGAGGCTGGGGACGTGAACAAGGCTGCTGAGATCTTGAGCGCCTACCTGGTCAGGGTTGGAGACGATGGCTACTGCTTAGTGGACCCCAACTTTGAGGGTACCTGCAACCCCCCTCTCATGAGGGCCACAGAATACAGGTGGGTAGGCTTCCCTTTCCCATGGAGCCCCTACTTCAGAATCATGGGATGTTAGAACTGCAAGGCCCTCTCAAGCCATCTGGGACAACCCATACCTGACCGAGAATCCCCCTGACAGCAAGTCCCCCAACCTCTGGCAGAAGACCTCCAGCAAGGGGGCCCTCACTGCCCCCTGAGGTGAGCCACTCTATGCCAGGACCGTTCTGCTTATTCAAATTTTTTCCTTACATTGAACCCAACTCTGTCTCCATGAAACTTCCCCCCAGTTCTCCTGGTTTGGACCTCAGAAATCAAGCAAAACAAGGAGGGAATTCCATCTAATTCATCACGTATTTCTTTTTCTCTTTTTTTTTAAAACAATTTACTTATTAATTTTTAGTTTTCAACATTCACTTCCATAAGATTTTGAGTTTTAAATTTTATCTCCCTCCCTCCCTTCCCCCCTCCCCAGATGGTGTGCAATCTGATATAGGCTCTGCTTATACATTCATATTAAGCATAGTTTCCCATTAGTCATGATGTAAAGAAGAATTAGAACCAATGGGAGGGACCACAAGAAAGAAGAATCAAAACAAAACAACAAAAGAAAAGGAGAACAAATAGTCTGCTTCCATCTGCATTCAGACTCCATAGGTCTTTCTCTGGATGTGGGTAGCATTTTCCTTCATGAATCTTTTGGAGATATCTTAGATCCTTGCATTGTTAAGAAGAGATAAGTCTACCAAAGTTAGTCATCAAATAATGTGACTGTTACTGTGTACAATGTTCTCCTGGTTCTGCTCCTTTCACTCTGCATCAGTCCATACAAGTTTTTCCAGGTTTTTCTGAAGTCAGCCTGTTCATTTCTTACAGCACAGTAGTATTCCATTACATTCATATACCACAACTTGCTCAGCCATTCCCCAACTGATGGGCATCCCCTCAACTTCCAATTCTTTGCCACCACAGAAAGAGTTACTATAAATATTTTTGTACATGTGGGTGCTTTTCCCATTTGTATGATCTCTTTGGGGTACAGCCCTAGAAGTGCTATTGCTGGGTCAAAGGGTATACACATTTTTATAGCCCTTCCGGCATAGTTCCAAATTACTCTCCAAAATGGTTGGATCATTTCACAACTCCATCAACAATGCACTAGTGTTCCAATTTTCCCATATCTTCTCCAACATTGGTCATGTTCCTGTTTTGTCATGTTGGCCAACCTGATAGGTGTGGTGTAGTACCTCAGAGTTGTTTTGATTTGCATTTCTCTGATCAATAGTGATTTGGAGCATTTTTTCATATGACTATAGTTAGCTTTAACTTCTTCATCCATCCTCTGTTCTAAGGCCCCTCCAAGCTCTGATATTCCCTGTTCTAAGGCTCCTCCCAGCTCTGACATCCCCTGTTCTAAGGCCCCTCCCAGCTCTGACATTCCCTGTTCTCAGGCCCCTCCCAGCTCTGACATTCCCTGTTCTAAAGCCCCTTCCAGTCCTGAGGTTCCCTGTTCTAAGCTCCCTTCCAAATCTTCTTCTGTCAATGCCCCCATTCTCCTTCAGGACACCTCCTATTCTTTCTCCTTTCAGGTTTAAATATGTCTTGGTAAATACATCGAGTGGTTTTGTGGAGGATCAAACCCTTTGGTCGCAGCCAATTCGGACCAATCAGAGTAAGTGCCAAGAAGGACCTGGGGTGGGGTCAGTTGAGGTAATGGGGTGAGGATGAGCACATCCCCACTCCCATGGCTCTCTAAGGTCTAGACAAGCTCCTGCCTCATCATCCTCTGCATCAGGCAGTGCCAGGAGGAGCCTGGGGTGACACCAGATGGAAAGGGCAGAACCTGGATCCTTCCATCTTCTGGTCTCCCGCCCCAGGCTTGCTTCTCATGGGCCTCAGGTCACTCTCTTGGGTGCCTGTTAGCTGAGGTGGGGTTGCTGCTCAGGCTGGCCCCAGGCGATGGATGATGGGGGGAGGCCATCCTTGCGGTCCGTGTTGGGCTGAAGGCTTCCTTCCTACCTCTGGCCCCTGGGGAATTGGTTCAAATGTGGCTTCTCAGGGTCAGAGGATCATTGGAGTGGGCAGCATGAGAGATCTAGAGCTACACAAAACCTCAAGGCCACCAGTCCAACCTCCTCAGCTGGGCGGGGGAGGACGTGGAAGCCCAGGGGATGGACAGACCTTGCCCAAGGCCCCAGGTAGTAAGCATCAGAGGAGGCCCCTGATTCTCTCCCCTTCCCGTTGCCTCCTGGGAGTCAGGAGGACCTGAGTTCAAATGCGACCTCAGACTCTCGACACTCACTAGCTGTGTGACCCTGGGCAAGTCACTTAACCCTGATTGCCTCACAAAAAAAAAAAAAAGCTTTTTCTTCTGTCTTTTATGTGAGATAATTTTCCTCATTCTACCTCTCCCTTTCTCCTCCCAGTACATTCCTCTCTCACCCCTTAATTTAATTTTATTTTTTAGTTATCATCCCTTCATATTCAACTCACCCTGTGCCCTCTGTCTATAAATATTCCCTCCAACTACCCTAATACTGAGAAAGGTCTCATGAGTTACAAATATCATCTTTCCATGCAGGAATGTAAACAGTTCAACTCTAATAAGTCCCTTATGATTTCTCTTTGCTGTTTACCTTTTCAGGCTTCACTTGAGTCTTGTATTTGAAAGTCAAATTTTCTATTCAGCTCTGGTCTTTTCACCAAGAATAAGTGAAAGTCCTCTATTTCACAGAAGGTCTTCCTATTTTTTGTTCAGTAGAAAGAGTTCTGGCCTGAGAATAGGTGACAGCCTCTCTCTGTGCCTTGGTTTCTCCATCTTTACTAACAGGAGTGTATCAGAGATGAGATGGATGAGATGAGGAGAGACGGGAGGTGGACAGCCTGCCAATATGGCAGCCCCGGAGGGCCAGTGTTTCCAGAACCACAGCCTGTCAGAGCTGAGAGGGCCTCTTTTGGCTGAGGCACAGGAGAGGAAGGGCGGTGGGTGGACCAGGACCCTCAGAGCATTGCTGTTCCATGACTTAAGCTAGGTCCTTCATCCCTGCCTCCCTCCCCTGTGTCTCCTCTTCCAGTTTCCACATACTTGGAGATTGACACGTGGCCGGGCAGAAGGAGCGGGGCCATGATCGTCATCACCTCCATCCTGAGCACACTGGTGTTCATCCTGCTGCTGGGCTTTGTGGCAGCTGTCATCTTCAGCTTTGTGTAAGGAGCTGCGGCCTTGGGGAGATGAGACCCACCCTGGGGCCAGAGGGGCTTCCCTGGGGCAATTCTCTTGCCAGGCTGGGTCAGAGGGCTGGTCCTGTGCAGAGCAGTGCAGCCCCACTGGGTTTCTGGGACCCCTTTCTGCCCCAGTATCTCAGGTGACGAGAATGTTCTGGTGAGGAAAGGTCAGGGACCAATAACCTAGGCCCCTTGTGTTACGTGGCCCTGTCCGCAGCTATCATACAACTGGGTGTCTTAGACCTTTAGGCAGTAGTGGGTTGGCTGCATCCTTCAGCCTCCAGCTGGCTCTGCCACTGACTTGCCTTGGTTTTACCAGCTACAACATGGAAATGAGAATCTGTCCAGCCACCCTCATGGAGTTATTATGGGGCTCACATGCGCTAAGCAATGCGGACGTCTTATCTGTGTGAAAAGAGCTGCTGGGGCAGTAAGGAGGCCCAAATCAGTGGAGCAGGGCTGAGAGGGGAGTGGGGGTGGGGAGGACCACCCACAGGACCCTGGAGGGAAACAAGAGTCCAGGGCTGGGCCTGGGGAGAATGGCCCGAGGCAGGGTGGCCCTACACTCCGGTAGTTTCCTGTTTTAATTCATTCTTCTTGCTAGCTCAGGTTTGATTCTGCTGTTTCCATATCACTGAAGATCAGCAAACCCTCTTTTAACTTGGTACCCTGGGACGAAGCCCTCATTACCCCAGCCTAGTTATGGCTGCCATTTACTTCTGTATTTGTCTATCTCTCTCCCCGATCTCTTTTGCTTAGGAGTATGGGAAGCTCAGACTTAGAGACACAGCATGAATCTCAAATCAGCCAGGAGGTGGTTCCGAAAGCCCAGGGAACCTTAGAGCCTTCCTACTCTTCCGTGAACCGGAGGCAATCTCTGGACCAAGCCGAGGTCTACACCAGCAAGCTCCAGGACTGAGAGATCGACCAGTCAAACTCCTGGCACAGAGTGTGTGTGTGTGTATGAGGATGTATATGTGTGTAAGTGTGGGTATATGTGTATGTGTATGTAAGTGTAAGTAGGGTGGGTACATGTATATGTATGAGAGTGTGTGTGTAAATGTGAATGTGAGAGTGGGTGGGTATATGTGAGTGTGTATGAGTGTGTAAAAGTGTATGTATATAAGTGTGAGTGGGGTGGGTATATGTATGTGAGTATATGTATATTTATGAGAATGTGTGTGTGAATGTATGTATGTGACTGGGTGGGTATATGTGAGTGTGTGCATGAGTATGTGTAAAAGTGTGTGTGTGTGTGTCAGTATGAATGTATGCGAGTGTGTGTGTATGTATATGAATGTGTGAGAATGTATATATGTCTATAAAAGTGTGAGTGGGCAGGTAGGTAGGTATATGCATGTGAATATATGTGTATCTGTGAGTATATGTATGAGTGTGTGTGTAAGTGTAAGTGGGCAGGTAGGTACATGTGTGTGAATATGTGAATATTTGTGAGTGTATGTATGCATGTGTATATGTAAGGAGGTATGTGTGTGTGTGACTGTGTGTAAATGTGTGTATGTAAGTGTGTAGGAGGGCACATAAATGCACTGTGTGTCTATGTATAAGTGTATGTGTGTGAATGTGAGTCTGTGCAAGTGTGTGTGTCTGAGAGGAGTGTCTGCTCGGATCTCCCTCGATTCCTCCAGGCTTTGTGGGGGGTGGGGTGCGATCAATAAATGCTGACCCGCTGACTCGCCCTGTTTAGACATTGCGTTGGTCATGTTCTTGCCTGCTGGCCCCTGGTTGAATAGAGCTGGGTCTTGGAGAGCACAGAGCAGGTTCTGAATAAGAGCCATGGGGGATTTCAGGTTAGTTAAGGCTTCACTGACCAAAACAAGTGTGTGAGCTAGCGAGCTCCCCATCCACTGGGGCGTTCCCACAGAGCCTTGCACCAGAGCTGGCTGCCTCCTGGCCACAGTCTGCTCTCTCTCACGCTGGCCTGAAGTGTCCAGTTGACACTTACCTCCTCTGAGTTGTCTGTTCTCTCAAAGGTAAATTGTTTGGTGACTTTCCTCCAAAGTTGCCCTGAAGGCCCATTAGCGTAACCTCCCCAAGCTCCTGCTCCCCCTGAGGGCTGGTGCAAGCGCCTGGGCTTGAAATGGGCCCAGGTCTCTGACAGGCGATGCAGGAATTGTGGGGAAAGTGACGTGTTGGATCAAAGTCAGAGGACCTGGGTTTGAATCCTGACTCTGTCTGCTGACTGATGTTGGACAGGTCCCTTCCCCTCTCTGGGTAAAGACAGAGCGACAAAATACTCCCTGCCTGAAGAAGAAGTGGAAAAAGCTGCCTTCCCTGAAGAGGCGGGGGTCTACGGGCGTGGACCACTGCACGTGCTGGCTGACTTGGACTATGTGTCGGCTCATTGTGCTGACACGCTTCCCGCCCCCACCCCTTTTCTTCTTTTTCTTCTTCTTCTTCCTCCTCCTCTCCCTGTCTTCCTCCTCCTCCTCCTCCTTCTTCCTCTCCTTTTTTTTTTAGTTTTTTTAAATTTAAATTAATTTATTTTTAGTTTTCAACAATCACTTCCTTAAGCTTTTGAGTTTTAATTTTTTCTCCCCCTCCCTCCCCAAGACGGCCCACCATCTGATACGGGCTCTACACATACATTCCTATTAAACATATTTTCACATTAGGATGTTGTAAAAATTAGAATCAATAAGAGGAACCACCAGAAAGAGGAAACTAAACAAACCAGAAGAGAAAAAAAGAGCAAATAGTCTGCTTCAGTCTGCATTCTAACTCCACAGCTCTTCCTCTGGGTGTGGATGGCATTTTCCATCACGAGACTTTTGGAGACGTCTTAGATCCTTGCATTGCTGAGAACAGTTAAGTCTATCAAAGTTGTCATCGCACAGTGTTGCAGTTACTATCTACGACATTCTCCTGCTTGTGCTCACTTCATTCAGCATCAGTTCATGCAAGTTCTTCCAGGTTTTTCCAAAGTCCACCTGCTCATCATTTCTTTTTTTTATTAATTAATTAATTTTGATTTATCAACAATCACTTCCATAAGCTTTTGAGTTTAAAATTTTTCTCCCCCTTCCTCCCCACCGCCCCCCAAGATGGCTCACAACCTAATACAGGCTATACGTATACATTCCTATTAAACATATTTTCACATTAGCGATGTTGTAAGTAAGAATTAGAACCAATAGGAGGAACCACCAGAAAGAAGAAACAAAACTCAACAGAAGAAAAAAAAGAGCAAATAGTCTGCTTCAATCTGCATTCAAACTCCAAAATTCTTTCTTTGGATGTGGAGAGCATTTTCCAACACGAGGCCTTTGGAGATGTCTTAGATCTTTGTATTGCTGGGAAGAGTTAAGTTTATCAATATTAGTCATTGTACAACATGGCTGTTACTGTGTACTATGTTCTCCTGGTTCTGCTCACTTCACTCAGCATCAGATCATACAAGTCTTTCCAGGTTTTTCTGAAGTCAGCCTGTTCATCATTTCTTACAGCACAATAGTATTCCATTACATCCATGTACCACAACTTGCTCAGCCATTCCCCAGCTGATGGGCATCCCCTCAATTTCCAATTCTTTGCCATCACAGAAAGAGCTGCTATAAATATTTTTGTACATGTGGATCCTTTTCCCTTTTCCTTGATCTCTTTGGGATAGAGCCCTAGAAGTGCTATTGCTGGGTCAAAGGGTATGCACATTTTTATAGCCCTTTGGGCATAGTTCCAAATTGCTCTCCAAAATGGCTGGATCATTTCACAACTCCACCAACAATGCATTAGTGTTCCAGTTTTCCCACATCTTCTCCAACATTGATCATGTTCCTGTTTTGTCATGTTGGCCAACCTGATAGGTGTGGTGTAGTACCTCAGAGTTGTTTTGATTTGCATTTCTCTAATCAACAGTGATTTAGAACACTTTTTCATATGACTATAGATGGCTTTAATTTCTTCCTCTGAGAACTGCCTGTTCATATCCTTTGACTATTTATCAGTTGGGGAATGGCTTGTATTCTTATAAATTTGACTTAATTCTCTATGTATTTTAGAAATGAGGCCCTTATCAGAAATACCGGTTGTAAAAATTCCCAGTTTTCTGCTTCCCTCCTAATCTTGGTTTCATTGGCTTTGTTTGTTCAAAAACTTTTAAATTTGATAAAATCAAAATTATCCATTTTGCTTTTTATAATGTTCTCTATCTCCTGTTTGGTCATAAATTCTTCTGTTCTCCATAAATCTGACAGGTAAACTATTACTTGCTCTTCCAGTTTGCTTATAGTATTAGCCTTTGTATCTAAATCATGAACCCATTTTGACTTTGTTTTGGTATCTGGCGTCAGATTTTGGTCTATGCCTAGTTTGTGCCATACTCCTTTCCAGTTTTCCCAGCAGTTTTTGTCAAGTAGTGAGTTCTTATCCCAGAAGCTGTGGTCTTTGGGTTTATCAAATAGTAAATTACTATAGTCATTGACTACTGTTTCTTGCATACCTACCCTATTCCACTGATCCACCACTCTATTTCTTAGCCAGTACCAAGCAGTTTTGATGATTACTGCTTTATAATACAATTTAAAATCTGGAATGGCTAGGCCACCTTCCCCTGCATTTCTTTTCATTAGTTCCCTTGATATTCTAGACCTTTTGTTATTCCAAATGAATCTTATTTTTTCTAACTCTATAAAATTTTTTTTTGGTAGTTTGCTTGGTATGGCACTGAATAAGTAAATTAGCTTAGGTAGAATTGTCATTTTTGTTATATTAGCTCGGCCTACCCATGAGCAACTAATGTTTTTCCAATTATTTAGATCTGACTTTACTTGTGTGAAAAGTGTTTTGTAATTGTGTTCATAGAGTTCCTGGGTTTGTTTTGGCAGGTAGACTCCTAAATATTTTATAATGTCTTCATTAACTTTAAATGGAATTTCTCTTTCTATCTCTTGCTGTTGGGCCTTGTTGGTAATATATAGAAATACTGACGATTTATGTGGGTTTACTTTATAGCCTGCAACTTTGCTAAAGCTGTTCATTATTTCAAGGAGTTTTTTACTTGATTCTCTAAGTATATCATCATATCATCTGCAAGGAGTGATAGCTTTGTTTCTTCCTTGCCTATTCTAGTGCCTTCAATTTCTTTTTCTTCTTATTGCTAAAGCTAATGTTTCCAGTGCCACATTGAACAACAGTGGTGATAATGGTCATACTTGTTTCACCCCCGATCTTATTGGAAATGCTTCTAGCTTGTCCCCATTACATATGATGCTTGCTGAAGGTTTTAGATAGATGCTATTTATTATTTTAAGGAAGAGCCCATTTATACCTATGCTCTCTAGTGTTTTTAATAGGAATGGGGGTTGTATTTTGTCAAAAGCTTTTTCTGCATCCATTGAGATGACCATGTAGGATTCACAGCCCTGCATTCCTGGTATAAACCCTACCTGGTCATAGTGTATTATTCTTGTGATTAAGCTGCTGTCATCTATTTGCTAATATTTTATTTAAAATTTTTCTATCTATATTCACTAGGGAAATTGGTCTATAATTTTCTTTCTCTGTTTTGACTGTTCCCAGTTTAGGTGTTAGTACCATATTTGTATCATAAAAAGAATTTGGTAAGATTCCTTCTTTGCCTATTTTCCCAAATAGTCTACATAGTATTAGAATTAATTGTTCTTTAAATGTTTGATAGAATTTGCTTGTAAATCCATCTGGCCCTGGAGATTTTTTCCTAGGGAGTTCATTGATGACTTGTTCAATTTCTTTTTCTGAGATGGGGTCATTTAAGTACTTTACTTCCTCTTCTGTTAATCTGGGCAATTTATATTTTTGCAAATATTCATCCATTTCACTAAGGATTGTCAAATTTACTGGCATACAGTTGGGCAAAATAGCTCTTGATTATTGTTTTAATTTCCTCTTCATTGGTGGTGGATTCACCTTTTCATTTTTGATACTGTTAATTTGGTTTTCTTCTTTCTTTTTTTTAATTAAATTAACCAAAGGTTTATCTATTTTATGGTTTTTTCATAAAACCAGCCCTCTTGGAACAGATGGGCACCAAGAAGAGGATGAGCCGGAGCCCTGGGCCAGGAGCTGTTTGGACAGTGCCAAGCCAAGGTGAAACAGGGCTAGGATGGATGACCCATTCTGGAAAATCCCCATTTTATGTCATTCTGGCAGTGTCCCGGATGAACCAAGTTCCTCAGGTCTAGAAGAACGTGGGAGCACAGCTGCTGTTCACCAAAGAGAAGCATTTACACCACAGGGTGATGTCTTGGCTTGTGTGTGAATAGGGATCAGGGTGGGGAGGTTTTCAAAAGACCTCAGAGAATAGCACATAAGACTCCTGTCCCGGGAACCCAGAAGGGAATGGACTTTGTGAAGGGTCATGTTAGCTGGCCACAGAAGTCCCTTCCAACTCAAGAAAAAGGGCAGAGTGAGCGGCCAGGGCTTTCTGACCCCAAGACCCACATGACTGCTGGCACTCCCCACTGACTCCAGAGTTCATATGGTGCCTTTGGTCGGAGCAGCGCCAAACGTGGAGGCCTTGCCGTCCAAGGATCGTGGGACGCTCTCTGTCCTTTCGCACTGACTGAGGAACATGGGATGTCTTTGGCATTTGTGTGAGAGGGGCCATAGAATCCAGGAACTGGCGGTGTGAGGTTGGGTGGGGGACCTCAGAGCTGGTCTTCAGTAGTGGGATTTCAGGAGCCCAGGGAAGGATGCAGGGTGTTTTCTCAAACCTTGGACTTGGAGCATGAGCACTGGCCCTTCAGGTCTTGGGCAGGAGCCTCAGCTGAGGAAAGGAGGAGCCCCAAATGGGGAAGACCCTAACCCCTACAGAGAGGGCAGAGCAGCTGCAATTCCACAGACCACCAGCAGATGGAAGCCAACATGGTCAGCAGTGTAGCCCAGAAGCCGCCTATGGGGCAAAGGACATTTGGGGGTCATTTGCTTCTAGGAGGAGGATGCCTTGTGCCTCTATCCCCTACAGCCTCTTCCCAGTGGGCAGGGCCCTGCACCTCCCATTTCTCCTCAAGGGTATTCTGACCGTCTCCCCCTCTGCAGGGTTAGGGTTAGACCTGCCTGGGTTCTGGGAGGTCTCGGGGTTGCCACCTGCCCCACTCCCTGGGCAGCAGTCAGTGTTCCCCCTTCCCCTCCTCCCCGCCTCCTCTGGAGGAGTCTGGCCGTGAGCAGAAGCTGGGCAGAGACAGGGGCCGATGCCCACTAGGTCTCCAACGACGGCACCCTGGGGGAGAGCCCACTCTACCGTTCCAGGTCAGGGAGAAGGGCCTGACAGAAGGACGAGAGCGTATGGAGGACCTTCTCTCCCCCTTGAGGCTGAGACTCCCCAGCTCCTGGCCTCAGGTGCCTGGGGACAGCCTTGCCCAGCTGAGCAGGGAAGCTAGGGCAGATGCAGGTGGGCACCAGTGCCCAGAGCAGGCAGTGAGCCTTCAGAATCCCTCTGGTCCTGGGATCAGGACAAAGCCCCACACCTTCCAGGTCTCCACAGGCCCCTGACCCTGCGCCCTGCTGGGATGAGCTAGCTTGCTTCATTGGGCCAAGGGGACCTGGCTTTGATCCCTAGCTCTCTCTGCCCTGGGGGGCTTCTGCCCCAGAAGGACTGACTGTGACTTCCTAGGACAAGTACCTTGGGGCAAAGGGGCCCCAGGCCTCAGAAAAAGAGCTGGGCTTGGAGTCCCAGGCAGGGGCTGAATTCAAATCTCCCTCTTACCCTCCCCCCTTGGCCTCAGCTCTCTTATCTGGAAAACGAGGGACATGGGTGGGCTTCTGTTCAAATCAGGAAACATTTATGCAGCCCCAATGTGTGGGAGGGCCATCCAGAGGGGAAGGGAAGCCAGACAGCCCCCCTCCCCCCGACTCCTGCTGCTCCCCTTTGTCAGGGAGGGAGCTACAATCTGGGGCTTCAGCAGTGGGAGGAGCAAGCCTGGCGGGCAGATAGCCCAGTGGGCACGCATGGTGGCTGGAGATGACACTCACAGAGAGTTTGGGAACTAGCCTGAACACGGAGCCAGGAAAGGGAGTGAGATGGGAAGGAGCCCGAGGGGGAGCAGGGAGACAGGGAAAGCTTTTCAGCAGAGGGAGCTGGCGCCGAGCCCGGCGGCAGCCGGAGGACATCCTTCCTCTGCCTGACCCTGGGCTCTGAGGGTGGACGAGGGCCTGGGATGCCTGCTCTCCTGCGGCCTTGCTGACCCTCCCCGCGGCCCCCGCCCGCCCCCGCTGGATCTCAGCCCCTTGGAAGCAGAACCAAGGCCCCTGTGGCTGCCACAGGCTTCCTGGCATCGAAGGCTGGACACTCTGATGACCTGGGGCGGTCACCAATGGTCTCTGGCCTCCCTTAGCCTCTACTGCTGACATGTCCCCCCAGGAGCGGGGAGCAAGGTGCCCCAGCAATGGAGGTGAGATGATGAGTGAGGGAAGCCCGCTGCTGCGGAAAGAGCCAGCACGCCTGGGTCCTGGGATACTTTCTGGCCTCGGGGAAGTCACTACCTGTCCGCCGACCCCATTTCATCTAGTGTTTAAAATGAGTTGTGGAGCGGGAAGCAGTCACGGATGAGCCGAATCACAGAATTCTGTTAGAAGGGACCTCGGTGATGACATGGTCCCCCCACTGTGTGGGTGCTCCCCCAGGCTCTGCCTGGACCTTACCTCCTTTCTTGGGCTCTGAAGGGACACCCGGAACAGGGAAGCCTCCCCCACTGAGGCTGATCGGACAGTCTGGGCAGAGTCAAGTGACCTGCACAAAGTCACTGGGCAAAACTCGAACCCAGGCCTTCCTGATTGCCAGGTGGGCTCTCCTCCACTCAGCATCACTGAGAACCAAGCTCTTCGGGTCATGAATGTCACACTGGGTCACGTGGTCTATAAAGGGAAACTCCATCTCCCACCTCTGAGCCTTTGCCTGGAGCGCTCCCCCTCCTTGCCTCGCACCTTTCAAGACTCAGCTAAAACCCTCAAATGACTCCCAAAATGCCAAAAGGCACAGGCCTGGAGTCAGGAAGACCTGAGTGCAAATCCAGACGCAGATCCATCCTGGCTGTGGGACCCTGGGCAAGTCACTGACCTGCTCTCTGCCTCGGTTTCCTCATCCGTCAAACGGGGGTAACAACAGCACCGAGCCTGCAGGATTCGGAAAGGGCTCAGCCCGGTGCTGGGCACGTGGGAGGCGCTGACGGAGCCCTACTTCCCTTCCTCCCCCTGGCCCACGGCCAGCGGCCTGCCGGACAGCTCCGCCCCAGCTGGACGGCGCAGGGGCAGCTGGGAAAGCAAAGACAACGGGGTGGGGAAGGACAGAGCCCCTCCCCCTACGGGGGGGGGGGTGGCCAGAGCAGAGGACGCTGGGCTCCTGGAGCTCCCCGACCACGGCGACTCGGGTGTTCAGCCTGGCTAGTGCGGCACTCCGTCTCCCACCTCCGGGCCTTAGCCCTGACCGGGCCTCCTGCCAGGAGGGCCATCCCCTGCAGACTCCAGGTCCACCCACGCCTGCTGCCACGCCCACCCCCTCCCCCCGGCCTGAGCCCCCCCTTAGAGTAGAAGTCCCTCGAGGGCAGGGGTGGTTTCCACTGCCCCACGCTGCTTGTCCATGATTGTGACAGCGCGCGCGTGTCTTGCGGGGACGTGGTGCGACCTTCGGCTCAGTCCGGAGGGCCGCTGGGGATGGCCGGAACTTTCCGGCGCGTGGAGCGAGGGTCCCGCCGGAAGACTCGGTGTGAGCACCAGCCGGCGAGTGTTTGCTGAGGCGGTTTCATTTCCCGTCTCCACTTCCGAGGTCGCGCCTGCGCCGGAGGGAGGGACGCCGGGAACGTCGTCCTGCGCTTGCGCGCGCGCGGGCGGGAGTGCTGAATAAATGAGCGCGTGCCTGTGCCGGTCAGCGTTTTCCCGGCCGGTCGTCGCGAGTGCGCGCGCGTGCATCTCTTCTTTCCCCACCCTTTCCCGTCTGCGCCCCTCTCCGCTTTGGCTGGGAGTCCGCGCCTGCGCGTCACGGTGACCGCGAGCCCGCCTTCCCCGCGTAACGGTCTCTTTCGCGAGAGAGGGTCGCGCCTGCGCGTGGTGGCCCCCGGGCGCGCGCCTCGGCCCCCTCGCGGAGGAGTTGCGCCTGCGCGGGACCCTGAGCGGCGCGCGCCGCCCCCGCCCCCGCCCCCGCCCCTCCCCCTCCCCCTGCCGGAGGCGGCGGATGCGGGGCCTGGATCGCCGACCCCAGCCGGACGAGGAGGAAGAGGAGGAGGAGGAGGAGGAGCTGCCCCCGCCGCCACCGCCTCAGGTGCACAGGGGGCCCCGCGACCGTCCACCCCGGTGAGTGAGCACCTTCCTCTTCACCACAGAGACCCCCCCCGACCCCGCGTGTCCCCCCTCCCCCATCGTGGGGGGGGTCTCATGCCCCTCCTCCACGGAAGTGCTGTTATTGCCCCCGTTTTCTGGGGGGGAAACTGAGGCAGGCCGCGAAGGCGGGGCGGGGGGTCCTGGCCTCTCCTCCCCATGTCCCGTCAGGTGGCGCACCGGGGGGGCCTCAGTTTACCCCTCCGGAGGAGGGGGCGGCTCTGCGGACAGGGCCGCCTTCCTTGTCAGCGTGATGGGGGGGGGCTGGAAGACCCCCCCGGCCCGGGGGACACACGGGGGGGGGGGCTGCGATCGCCCCCCGCCCGGTCTCTCGAGCCGTCCCTTGGGCAGATGCCGAGGTCCCCCCAGACCCCCGTCTCGGCATCTGCTCCCAGGCCCTGCCGGGTTGGGGTCGCCCCGCCTTCCCCAGGGGGCGATGAGTGGGGAGGGGCTGCGGGCAGGGCCGGAGGGGGGCGATCCCTGCCGGGGATGGACTCAGCGCGGACGGAAGGAAGCCGGCCCCGGGCTGCTTTTCCTGTCTGGTTTTTCCTCCTCCTCCTTCCTTACAACACGACCAGTGTGGAAACAGGTTTAAGGCGCCGTGCGGGGGGGTCGCGCCCTCTGTGCCCGCAAGTGTGAGAAGCGACATGGGGAGTGGGGAAACACGGGGGGCTGTGGGCATCTTGACTCCCCCCCGGCCCCCGCACGGCGCCGGGCGCTCAGCCGGATAGAGCCCTGAGCCCGTGTCTCCGTGGGAGACAGGGACGAGAAAACTGGGGGGAGTCGGGTGCCCACCCTGAGACGCTCCCTAGCCCGGTCTAGAACCGAAGCAGGAACCCCTTCCTGGGCGTTCCCTGGCCCCGGCGGGTTCCCGCCGCCGTCCGATCCTCGTCCCCTGGCTCTGCCCCCGAGACCTCAGCAGCCGCAGCCCGCCGGGGATGCTGGAGGTCGGCAGCGGTGCCCCGGCCCTGTGCCGGGTCCTTCGGGCCTGGCTCTCAATCCCCTTTTCACCTTCAGCCTGGCTGGAGCCGCTGAGCTCAGCGCCTGGGACGGGCTTTGAGGGTTTGTTACTTTTAACGGCTTTGCCTCGTTTGGGGAGCGAGGACTCTGCCATCAGCTGAGCTTCTGATGGGTTTTTCTTTTTCGCAGGATTTACAGATGGATTCAGCAGAGAAGACACCCAGTAGAAGTGAGCAGAAATCCAGGTAAGAGATGAGAGCTCTTGTTGTGGCCTCCCCGGGAAGGCCCAGAAGCGGTCATCACGGCCACAGCACCTGCCTTCAGCCACTGCTGGTTTGGGGAAATGCCGAGTTGAAGGAAGAGATATTCCTGGCGAGCCCCCGCCGGCCTTTCCTTCCGCCTCCCCGGAGGCCCAGAGAGAGAAGGCCTCATGTGTGACTCAGAGTGAAGCAAAGGAGGGATGGCAGGACACTGCCCCCGGCTTTTTGACGGGATCCTCCTGAGGGAGGCTCCTTTGGTCGGTATGGCCCGTTTGTATCAGGTGTTTCAGGCTCAGCCATTGCCACCACCGGTTTTGTTACCCTTCTTTCACCGAACTCTCGGCTGCCTCTTAGAGATACGATGGTGCCGGGCCCGGAGCTGACGGGGAGGTGGGGTTGGCGAGGAGAAAGCTCTGGTCCCTGCCCGACACGTACCTCATGATTGAGATGGAGCCGAGGTGCCCGGTGCCCCCAGTGCGAGGGAGGGATGAGGGGGCTGAAGTTTGCTTCAGCTGTCGCGCAGGCTGGCCTCTGACTCTCGTCCTGGCCTCTTTCCCACCAGGAAGTTTTTAAAAAGTCTAATAAGGAAGCAGCCCCATGACCTCCTGCTGGTCATTGGGACGGGCGTCAGTGCCGCGGTGGCCCCGGGCATCCGGGCCCTCTGCTCCTGGAGGAGCTGCATCGAAGCAGTCCTGGAAGCGGCCGAGCAGCTGGAGGTCCTGCATCCGGGAGATGTCGCGGAATTCCGGAAGAAAGTGATGAAAGACCGAGACCTGCTTGTGGTCGCTCACGATCTGATCCGAAAGATGTCGCCGGTGAGGTTCCGGCACGGGAGGGTCCGTGGGGCCCCTGGCGAGGGAGCCCGCGTGAAGTGCCCGGCAGCCACGTGTGGCGTCTCCCCTTCTCCTGCCCTCCGTCCTGTTCCCCGTGGAGGCATTTCTGGTTTTCCCCGTCTGGGTCAGGACTGGTTGGCCCGGGACCAGGGCCAGGTTTTTAGGGAACTCTCAGCTGAAACCTCACTCTCAGTAAAGCTCACCTGGGGCATCAAGAGGGTCAGTGACTTGTCCAGGGTCAGAGGGGACACGAGCCCTGGTCTGCTGTACGCTCTGACCTCCTCTGTGGGCGCTATGTGAGGCTGCCCCTCACAGTGAAGAAAACGCTTCAAAAACAAACCCCCCTTTGAGGGGGAGACAGGAGCTGGAGTTCTAGCCGTGCTGCTCCCTGGGCCCGTCACCCTGGGCCTCAGCTGTGCAGTGAGGCTCGCGGTAGCTGCCCTCCCTAACCCGAGATGCCAGCTTGCTGTTCCCGGGCTGGTGTGGGGTCACAGAGGCTCTCTACTGAGCGTCACCTGAAAGCTGACAAAGGACTCCATCCAAGATGTGCCCCTTAGGCTGGCCCTAGCTGGGTGACCCAGCATCGATCACCTGGCCTGGGACGGCCTGGAGGGGGAGGGCCGTGGTTGTGCGCTCCGTCACCGAGCGGCGTGGTTTTGCCTCCACAGCGCACGGGGGACACCAAGCCCAACTTCTTCCAGGACTGTCTAATGGAAGTCTTTGACGACCTGGAGCAGCACATCCAGAACCCGACGGTGCTGCAGTCCATCCTCAGCCTGATGGAGCGGGGAACCATGGTCCTCACCACCAACTATGACAACCTGCTGGAGATCTTCGGCCAGCAGCAGAACAAGCCAATGGAATCCTTAGATTTGAAAGATAAGACCAAGGTAGGGAAGGGTGAGGCTCAGCGCTGGCAGGCTTCTGCACTGCTTCTGCAGAGGAGGAAACTGAGGCAGAGCCAGGCTAGGAAGCAGGTGTCCTGACTTGAATGGGCAGTTGACCCTCCTGCTGTTACTAGAGCGCACAGTCAGGCAAGGTCTGGAGCCACCAATATCCCGTCCTTTCGACCCCCAGGTAGTAACATGTTTCCCAAGGGCCTTTCTGTCCTCCTCCTGGGGCCAGCCAATACTTTTGGTTCCCTTCTGCCCTTACCTGCACAAGATCATGAAATCCAGAGGTCTGCAACCATTTAGCAAAGAATCTGACGGCTAAGTACACACCAGGGGGCGGGACCTGCGGCCTCGAGGCCACACGCGGCCCTCTGAGTCGTCGGGGGCAGCCCTTGGCCTGAATCCAAACTTCCACAGAACAGATCCCCTTCATAAAAGGATGTGTTCTGTGAAACCTGGACTCGTCAAAAGGCCGCCCCCAAGGACCTCGAAGGCCCCCCACCCCGGTCTATACTGTGATGTGGAATGTGGGGAGAATAGATTTGCCACAAATGGTGATGTGTGTTGCCTTCTCCCAGAGAGTCGGGAATCCTGGTGGTTATGTCCAGTCAACAAGCTTTTATTAAAGGCGCTGTACTACGTGCCGGGCCTTGTCCTCAGGAAGCTTCCAGTCCGAGGGGAGAGGCAGTGTGCCAGCAGCTCCGCACAGACAGGATAAACTGGAGACAGTCTCAGGGATGGGCCACGCGGAGGGTGCCGTGGCCTTCTGCCTTGGGGACAGGTCAGAGGTGGTCCTGGCAAGAGCCGGGCCCCTGTGTGGTGCCGGACAGTTCACTGGCTGCTAGCTTGATGTTCATGGGGGTTGGGGAGATGCCTGTTTGTCAGGTAGCTAGTTAGGCTTGCTGGCTCCTCTGAAGTAGGCCTCTGAATCAAGAGAGAAACCGAGGCACAGAACAGGTAAGTGACTTGTTCCAGTCTCGTGGCTGAGGCCAGATTTGTGCCGAGAGCTCGATGGTGTCGGCCACTTGCTTTGTGAACCTTAAAGTCTGACATAAATGGGAGCTGTTGGGGCTGTCAGATGAGGCGATTGAAATCCCTCGTGCCCCTGCCGATTCCACAAGTTGGTCCCCAAAGGGAGAGCTCGGAGCCCCTGACCCCAGGAGGCAGGATCTCCTTGGGGGAGATGCTGTGGGGAGCGTGCGTGTTCATGCCAAGTCTCGGAGGCCTGGGATTCCGTGGTCCGCCTGAGAGCACCCTTCAGTGGGCTCCCCTTCAAGTCGAGGTCAGGACAGAAGAGGAGTCTGGGTTCTGGTGGGATCCCTGGGGGTTTCTGTTCTGAGTCGGCGTGGACTTGTTTTGGCAGGTTCTGCAGTGGGCCAGAGGGCACATGAAGTACGGAGTCCTTCACATTCACGGCTTATACACGGATCCCTGTGGCATGGTCTTGGACCCTTCAGGATATAAAGACGTGACCCAGGACCCAGAAGTAATGGTAGGAAAGGCCCTTTCTTGCTGTCCACAGGCAGCTGCAGCCTGGCGCTCGTGTTAGCCTGTTAGCGCCGTCCGTAGGGCTTGTCCAGGCGTCAGAGAACCGGGCTTCCCGTTCCAGCTCTGCTGGTGTTACTCCTTGAGAGGCCTTTTGCTTGTCTTGGCCTCAGTTTCCCTATCTGTAAAATGAAAGGGCTCTCTAAGGGCACTGTCCCCTGCTGAGCCTTTAGCTTTGCATTTCCCAGAAGGGGCGAAAGCCTCCCAGTCCCCTCCAAAGCCTGGGCCAGCTTAGGGGGCTGAGAACCCCCTCCTTCCTTGCTCTTTTTCCCCATTTCCTCCACCCCCACCAACCGGGAGCCCAGACCCCGCATGGAAGGGCAGAAGAGCGTGGGGGCTTCACAGCTGGACACTGGGGACATGGAAAGTAAAGCGGCCGTGGGCAGCGCTTGTCTGTGAAGCTGGGTGCCCGGCCAGGCCGCAGCAGCACAAGGGCCCGTACCCCAGGGGGTGGCTGACGGACGGCGAGTCGCCGGCGGGGCTCGGGCACCGCCCTGCTGGACCCCCAGAGGTGCCCCCCGAAGCCTCGGCCTCCTGCTCCTGTGATCTCTGCCCATAGCAGAGTGCTTCCGCGGGGCTGGTCTGGATGTCCTGCTTGGGAGTTGTGACGAGGTTTCTGGGCTGGCAGGTAGCCTGCTGCCCTGTGCTTCCTGGCAGATTCCTCACTCCTTTGTGGCCTTTACCAAGTACATCTTCCCTTCTTGATGTGTTTTTTCTAAATTTAAGTTTGAGGACTTTGAAGATTTTTAAGCTCAAAAAAAAGGCCCCCCCAACACGATTAGCTTTCACCAGCCACGTGCCACGGGACAGCAGTGTTGCTGTGTCGGGCAGGGCCGTGGCTGCGTCTGAGCCACTCCTAGATCCGGAAAACGAGGCCTTTCTGGTGGGCTTGTCTCTGACAGCCTTTTGCTTCTGAGCACGTCCTCCTCCTCCAAAACCTTAAGATTCTGAAAAACAGGAAAATGAAAACTGTGCCAGGAGTCTCCGCTCAGGAAGGTCCTGGAGGTCTGTTAAATGAGTAGGTCTTTGGAGGAAGTTTTAGGGCTGAGTATAGCAAAGCTCATTAGCTTTGGATGACTTGACCCAGCCCCCAACGGTGAAAGCCAGATTGCGTGGCTTTACAAATAACAGAGTTAGCAGGCATTTCTAAAGTGCCCACTATGTGCCGGGCCCTGTGCCCCAAGAACCTTCTACGGGGGGAGCTAGTGGGTACATTTAGCATTTCATACACAGTGACACAATTTCCAGGTTTTCTGGTTGCCGAATTGTAGCAGCGCAGAGCTACCAGGGGCCTTGGCGCTCATTTAACCGAGGAGACGGACGGGAGTCCGCGGGATTGAGGGAGGCGTAAAGGGCAGAGGCGTGTCCACGCTCACACGGGGCTTCAGGAAAAGGCCTGTTGCTTGGTTCAGCCAGCCCGGCAGCCGGCGTGGTTCTGTCTGCCTCGTCCATTCCTCCATTCAGTAAACATTTATTAAGCACCTTCTCTGTGCCTGGCACTCTGCTAAGTACTGGGGATACAAAAAGAGGCAGATGACGGTGCCTGCCTTCAAGCAGCTTACAGTCCAGTGGGGGAGATGACATGCGAATGTATACAAAGAAGCTAAATCTGATAAATAGGAAATGGTGAGAAGAGGGAAGGCCCTGGAATGAAGAGGGCTTGGGGAAGGCTTTCCAGGGGAGGTGGGATTTTAGTTGGGGCTGGAAGGACGCCAGGTGGGTGAGTGGTCAGCAGAGGAGGGAGAGCCTGCCAGGCCAGGGGGACGGCCAGAGATGGAGGGTCTTGGGAAGGCGGGTTGTGAGTTGATGAAGGGCTTTAAAGAGCAAGCGTGGTATTACGGTTGGCCCTGGAAGCAGCGGGGAGGGCGGGCCCAAGCTCTCACTACTTCTGTTTCCTCCTAGGAAGTTCTGCAGAACCTGTACCGCACTAAGTCCTTTCTGTTTGTGGGCTGCGGCGAGACGCTGAGGGACCAGATATTCCAGGCCCTTTTCCTGTACTCTGTGCAGGACAAGGTAGATTTGGAGCACTTCATGGTGGTGCTCAAGGAGAACGAGGACCATTTCTTCAAACACCAGGCTGACATGCTTCTGCATGGCATCAAAGTTGTCTCCTACGGGGATTGCTTTGACTACTTTCCAGACTATGTGCGAGACCTTGCTGCCCAGATCTGCAAGCAGCGCAGCCCAGGTGCACTCGGAGGATATGTCTGTGTGTCTGTGTCCGTGAAAGCCGGTGGCTTAAGGGTATGGTCACGGAGACCGGGGCCCTGTGGCGGCTCAGAGGCTGTGGGCCCCCTAGGGTCGGCCTACCCGGGGGCAAGGAGGGCGGGCACAGTCTGCCGGTGAAGGGTAGAGGCAGACAGGATTGGTAACCGTTTGGGACCAGGACAGCTCCCGGCTGAGTATGGCGTGTTCTGATCTGTACAAAAGAGACGGTCAAGCCCACCTTTGGGGAGCGGCCCAGAGGACGTCCCCAGACTCAGGAAGACGCCGAGGAGGAGGGGTGTCGGGGAGAACACGGGCCCTTGCGATCTTGAAGTACCGTTGATGGCGGGATGTTGAGAGGGCTTGGCGGCCTCGTCCCTGCCCTGGCGCTGCACTGAGTGGTGTGGCTGTTGATGTGTTATTCACGTCATTGTGCTGTTGGGCACAAGGTCCCCGTAGCCTAACTTTGTCCTGCCAGTCTCTGTTGAAGGATCGTTGGTGGGGGCCGGGGGAGGGGCAGGGTACAAGGTTTGGACAATTGAAGTCTCCCTCCCTGCCTTCTCTGTTGAAACAAAGCAAATCAGAACTGTAAGCAAAGTGGACCCATGACAGTTTCACCATCAATTCAATTCAGCGAGCATTTATTGAGTCCCTAGTGTGTGCCAGTCCTTGGGCTGGGTAATTCAAGGCCACGTGGGCCCTCTAGGGTCTCGAGTGTGGCTCTTTGACTGACCCCAAACTTCACCGACAACTCCCCTTCATAAAAGGATTTGTTCCATAAAACTTTGACTCTGTTAGAAGGCTGGGCCACATGTGGCCTGGAGGTCGCAGATCCCCCACCCTGGGCTGGGTGCTAGCCATACAGTTACAATCTAAACAGCCCTGGTCCAAGGTGAACAGACTGAGTCCCTGAGAGGAGAATCGATGGTGGTCCTAGGGCCCGAGGGGAGACGGGCAGGGGCCCCCCAGCACCCGGACCAGGAGGGTAGACAGCAGAAGGTGGCACCACACGTCTGCCTGAATACAGCAGGCACCTAATAAATGCTGGCTGATCTATTGCCTCAGGCTTCCTCTCTGTGAGAGGAGATGGGTGGGCTGGGGTGGCAGGAATGGCCGGGCCACTGTCGTCCAGGCCCCGTGCGTGTTGGCTGCAGCTCCGTGGCTCACGGGATGTTTCTTCTCACTTGTAGATGCTGATCGAGTGGACAGTACAACACTATTAGGTAAAGACCATCCCTCTGGCCCTGGGGGGGAGGGTGGGGAGAATGGCCAAAGCCCCTTTGATGGTCACTCTGTGAGGGGCCTGGCCCTTGGACTTGGTGCTGGGCAGCCCTAGGGGTACCCCCCCAACCCTCTGGAAGCTGTCCAGAGCAGTGTTTAGGGCGGGCCCCCACAGCTGTCTTGATGGGGTGGGGTCGGTGTCTGCCCCCAGGAAACGCCTGCCAGGACTGTGCCAAGAGGAAGCTGGGAGAGTACGGCCTGGATGTTCCCAAAAGAACCCGGCAGTCAGATCCAGGTGTGTGTTCTAGGGGAGGCCGAGCGCGCCCTCCCTGGGGGGCCAGCCCAGCCTGGCTTCTGAGTTGCCTGTTTGCTGTGTCTTTGACAGATGACTCTGGAGGGTCCTGAGATCCCACAGACCCCCGAGACCTGCACCTGGAAACCAGCCTCTAAGCAGCCAGTGCTGGCCCCAGGACCCCCACTCAGACACTGACACCTGAGGGAAGCCCCTGGAGAGCCCGGAGGGGTGGGGCGGGGTGGGGCCTCTGTGCACAGAACCACTCGGGATTGACATCTTTACATTTCAGGTATACTTGGAAAGGACCCACAGACAACTACCTCAGGGATAAAGTCCAAAGCTGGCCTCCCTGTTTGTGAAGACCCTTTTTAAAGGGGGGTGGGGGGAGATGGAAGACCTGCCTTGTGACCCCACCCCCACAGTGCCAAGGAATGAGGAAACTAGAGACCCTCGCCTTGGGGGAGACCCCTGTGGCCCAGACATCTCAGACAGAAAAGCTGTTTATTTTGTGAACTAGAAAGGGAAGGGCTTCAGGGGCTGCGGTGAGGCAGGGCGGAGGGGCTTCCTGGGGGGGGGACCCTCGGGATGTCACATTCCTTTGTACCCCTAGACTTGGCCCAGATGTTTCTCTCTGGGATAGTGGTGCCGAGTCCTCGGGGCCTGGGCTCAAGTAGGCAGAACTTTGCCACGGTCCCATGCCACTCTGAACTGGGCAGGCCTCGACTGGCGTCGGGAAGTGCCCTGCCCTTGACTAGAGGGCACGTGGGCCAGGAGCCATCCACACTAGCCTCTGCCTGCCCCTGCCCCTGCCCCTCACTGGGAGATGGGATGGGAGCAGCGATGTCCGCCGGCTAGGGAGCCAGGAAATGGAAGCCAGTTGATTTCTTCTTTGGAGGCGTGGCCCTCTTTCATGTCTCTGGTCAGTCAAATAAAGCCTGAACGAGCTTGCTGTGGTGGGTAGCGCATGCCTCTCGCCTGGGCCGGTCCTGTCAGGGAACCCTGAACGCCCTGCCTTGGGGTGTGAGGTGGGGACAGGAGCAGCCCCCGCGGGCGGACCCACGGAGAAGTGGGGTGGGGACCCTCCCATGGTCAAGAACCATGCTCCCCCACACTGGGAGGCCCTGGGCTGGGCGGCCTGGGAGAGATCTCCTTTTGAGCTGGGCTCAGAGATGGGGAAGGGAAGGAGGGTGGACAGCGCTGATCATGAGAGAAATGATAGAGCATAATGTTGATTCCTCCGTGAGGCACTAGCTGACGTGCCCACTCTCAAACACCTACGGCTTAAGTCACGTGGGCAGCCAAGTGTACCGACAGACAGGCCAGCCTAGCCAGGGGGGAAACTGAGTCAGGAGGGCGGCCTCAGGCCACGCCCACAGTGGCCAACCTGCTGAGTCAGAACACGGCAATCCCACTAATCACAGTGTAGGGCCGGGTCGGTTATCCCTGAGACTGCCCTGAATGATGTCGGCCAGGTGGCCGTGCCCAGGACAGCCCCTCGCTCTGCTAATCACACGTGGACCCCCTGGCAGCTATGATGCTCTGCACTTTGTCAGGGGCAGCGGGACTCCAGGCCAGGCCGCCCTCCCCTTGTGTGTGGAGAGCTCGATAGATACAGATGGAACCCAGTTTCTGGACGGGGCTGGCTCGTCAGCGTGGACCTAGAACCTTCCCCCTCTCAGGCTCAAGCATTGTAGAACCTCTGATGACCACGTCCCAGACAGCGCGTGCGTCATTAGAGTCCTGGTGAAATAAACACGCTTCAGATAGCCGCCACTTTGTAATAGCCGCGCTTAGAGCCGCTCAGGGTCCAAATACAGAGGGAGGGCTTTTTCTGACACCATTGGCGTTAGCAAGTTTCCCAGCACGAGCGCATTTCATTTTACAGTGATGGTACAAGGAAGTATCGACCAGGCCAGCTCAAAGTGCGCTGGGCCAAATATCATAGGCCATCGCTGAGGGCTAGGACGGTACTAGGTTTTTTGGCTCAAGCAGAAGACTAAGGTGGCATAGAATGTTGGGCCATGCAGTGAGGAAGACCCAAGTTCAAATCTGGCCTCACACACTTATTAGCTGGGTGACCCTGGGCGAGTCACTTCACTGTTTGCCTCAGTTTCCTGATCTGTAAAATGAGCTGGGAAAGGAAATGGCCAAAAAAAAGGGGGGGGGGTCAGGAAGAGTGGGACCAGACAAAAAGTGACTGAACCACGAGACCGAAGGGCTCTCTGGGGTTTGGTCTGAAGGGGGCAGGGCAAGGCTGGTCCTGGAGCTCATGCAGTGATTCTCAGTTTGCAGGAGAGAAGGAAACAGTAAAGGGGTCCCAACAGAATCACAGTGGCCGGGCCCCGTGCTTGATGCGGGGTGCGGGCCAAGCCCGGAAAGGTGAGCAGCTGAGGCTTCTCTGTGCTGTTCACAGGGCTGGCGAGCTCTCGGGGCTCCGCTTTTCAAGTAAGGGCGGTTTAAGGGATCCCCACTACCCAGATTCGCAGATGATTACTGCCACTTCTAAATAAATCATTTTAAACGTTTATATCAGTCTTAAGAGCTAAACCTATAATCCAAGAGGCTAAAGAATGTTGGCTTTTTTTATTAGTTTATTTTGATTTATCAACAATCGCTTCCATAAGCTTTTGAGTTTTAAGTTTTCTCCCCTTCCCTTCCTGCCTCCCTCCCCAAGACGGTGCGCAGTCTGGTACAGGCTATACATATACATTCCTATTAACCATTTTCATGTTAGTGATGTTGTAAGGAAGAATTAGAACCAATAGGAGGAACCACAAGATGCTTCCATCTGCATTCAGACTCCATAGTTCCTTCTCTGGATGTGGATGGCATTTTCCATCACGAGGCCTTGGGAGATGTCCTAGATCCTTGCACTGCTGAGGAGGGCTGAGTCTATCAACGTCAGTCATTGCACAACGTGGCTGTTACTGTGTACAACGTTCTCCTGGTTCTGCTCACCTCACTGCATCAGACCATACAAGTAAAACGTTGGTTTTTCTAGCAATGTTTCTAGTAGAATGAACTGTCCAATTTCTGCTAGGCCCTTTGCAATCATCCTATCATGCAGTCCTCCCAACAGCCCCGGAGGCACGTTACAGATTAAGAAAGCTCCAGATGAAACAACTGATTTTCAGGTCACCCAAGCCATCAAATTTCCCTGTGTAACACAGGCCCATGCGTTTTCCCAACATCTCGATGCCAAATTGTAAATTCTGACTTAATAGAACATTAAAACGAGACCAGAATAAAGTCAATATCTGGATGTATTTTTACAAATGTGTTCTTCCAGTCGTGTCCGACTCTGTGACCCCATTTGGTGTTTTCTTGGTGAAGATACTGGAGTGGCTTGCCATTTTCTTCTCCAGCTCATTTTACAGATGAGGAAACTGAGGCAAGCAGGGTGAAGTGACTTGCCCAAGGTCACCCAGCTAGGAAGTGTCTGAGGCCACATTTGAACTCAGATGAGTGTCCCCGACTCCAGGTCTGGCACCCTGTGCACTATGGCGCCCCCTAGCCGCCCCAAATGGTATCATTACTGAATCTTAATTTTTATTTTATTTTGTTTACCAGCTAATCTGATTTAAAAGTGGCCATCCTGGACTAAGTTCTGATCTATCCCAATTATCCTCAGAGGGAACACATTTGGATCACCTTCCGAGTTAGGTCCAGGACATGCTCCAAACACATCAGATCTGGGTTTTATCGCTTTTTGTGGCAATGTTAAAAATCCCACAACTTTGTGGCTGAGCTTTGGGAGGCTGACCTTGCTCCAGCCTGTGCCAGCCCAGAGGGCGAGGCCCCAGGACGCCGTGTCCCGGGACCTTTTCTCCTGCTTGTTCTTACCTGCTCCATCCCAGACTCGACAACTTGAAGATGCTAGTCCATGCCATAGCGTACTTAGCTCTCCTCAGCTGTCACGTCAGCTCAGGTTGAATTAGTTTGATAATATGTCTAAGGTAATGAGAGCCCCTCCCGGAAGGGGTAAGACAGCTGTGCTGCAGGCTCCAGAAAGATATCTAGACGTTCTTGGTCATCACAAAAGGGGGTGGGGAGCCAGGTGGGATCCTAGGTCACACTTGAGGGCTAGTCTACACCTTAACCTCAGGGCAGGGAGTGGGGGGGGTGCTCCCAGTCCTTCAGCCCCAGTTTACAGCTTACAAAAGTCTGGGCTGCTCTAACAAGGGCTGTTATGTCTTGACAAAAGTCAAATCGGAGCATTTTTCCACATTAAACTGTGTTTAACTTTTTTTTTCTTTCTGTTTGCTTTTCACTGTTCAGAATCAGGAGACAGTCAATATTGCAGCATTTCCAAATCAAGAGAGCTGCGTTTCTCAGTTCTTACCATTTCTCAGAGAGAGCTTTTTACAGTGGTCGTTGCTGACATTCTAGACAGTTCGCCTTCAAGGCCACTACAGAGAAACCTTGATTAAAGGCGACTTTTGTAGCTCAAAACACATGGCCCTGGTGTTAAGTACTAGGAGGGAAGCAGGGAATGGTTGCCCCGAGTTTTCATAGGATTCCCTGTCCCAGAGGTTGACGGGGATTTATCCCAGAAGGGGGATCCATGGAAACCATGCTAGAGTTTAGAAAGATGCTGGATGCCCAACATTTAAAGACCCAACTGAGGTTATTAGGACTGCTTTAGAGACAAACATGTCCCCAGCCTTTAGGGTTATCTGGGGTCTGATGCAGTTTAGAGGTTAGGGGTGCTGCGACCCCAATATCACAACATGCAGGTCCTGCCCGAAAAAATTCTACCCAAGCCTTCTTTCAGCCAAAGACAAGGTTTATTAGAACATCAGTCATATTGGGCAGGCTCTGAAGGAGTCAACATTAGTAAGCTACTGGCTAGATTATAAGAATCTGACCAGTGGCTAGACTTTAAGAATCTGAGCATCTGAATGGAGACAAGGTGGGCCTTATATACAGAAAGACTGTGGGAGGGACCTAGGAGTGGCCAGTAGACTGGGGTGAACAGAACTCCTGGGACCTCCAGGTCCTCCTGGCCAAGGGAGAATGGAACCTAGCTAGGGTTAAGGGTGGGAAACGGCCAGGGGCCATAAGACAAAGGAAGGCCAAGCTAGGTTAACAGAATTGGAAGATTGAGTTGTAGCCACAATGAAAGGCCAGTTGATGGGATTATAGCCTCAGGCAAATGCCAGAGATTTGACCAAGTGGGAAAGTCCAGGGTTTTTCCTTTCCCAACCCCATCAGGTCCACTGTTTGGGGAGAGGAATGTGGATAACGGGTTAGGACTCAGGTTCTGTGTCTCTCCCTCACCTTCATGCATCACTGTTCCTCTGGGAACCCCTAGATCCATTCCACCTTTGATTCTTGGGGTCTGTTTCCTTCCTGCACTTCGGCCATGATAGCCGACCTCTCGGCATCCCATGCCACACTTCCAGTGATGACTGATTGCTAATAAGCCTGCATCCTGCGGGTTGATGGGGTCCAATCTCGCATACATTTTACAAACACTTTTGCACAGCCCATCGTAACAATGATGCGAGTTTCCACCTTCCTCTTGCACTCACCAGTTCCCCAGACATGCTCCATGGTCCTTCATACCCTGGAGCAAAGATTGCCTAGCCTGCTCCAGGCCTGGGGGGGAGGGTCCCATGTGGATCTTGTCAAAGCCAAATGGGGAGATCCTGGGGTGGTCTCCAGCCCCTCCACAGGCGCCAACCTATTGTTTCTATGATGGCTTATCTTTCTCCCACGGAGAGCAGGGTCATCATTAAGTCAGCTACATCTTCCCAAATTGGGTGATCACCTCTAAATATGGTTGAAAGGGGTCTATAGCTGCTCCAAGGTCTTCATCAAATCTAGGAATGACCCTTCTCCAGGGGGCGAAAGGCTGCTGGTGCCAGCCTTCGATCCTGACGGGCAGCTTCTGGAAGGGGGACGATGCCGACAGATACTCAAATTCACTTAAAGGATCGGCTCATT